GTCAACTAATCTCTATCCTCTCTCACACACACACCAAGAAGATTTAGACTGGAACCTGAGAGACCTTTGAATGCTAAAGTCATTCTGCCTGAACAGTTAAATGGCAGGGGAAGGCAAATGAGTTCTCAATCAAATACTGATTACCCTCTCAACTTCCAAGGAATATTACTTTTCATGCTGAGGGAGCCAGGATGAGGAATTAAAATAATTATCAAATTATAGAGCCAAGTTGGGGCTGGGCATCATTAACCTAGAGAATCTTTGGAATATTTATTTAAAGAGTGGTATGTTTTCCTTCAGTGAGCAGGGAAGGTTTTTTTCCTCTTGACTTACTCTGTGCCTTCCCTCCCCCCCCGCCCCACACACACATACACATACTTTCTTTTTGGAAGCACTGGAGAGAAGGCAGCTTTTCTTGAACAACAGACCATGGAATTCACTCTTTTTTTGGCTGCTTTCCCCCACTTTTAAAAAGTAAATTCCATGGTAGATTAGGACACACTTATTTACTGAATTAGGGATTTTTAAAAGTTCACACAAAACCTGAAGATGGTGTCAAAATTTGGAAACATATAAGTGAAATGCTTTGACAAATGCAAATCAGTGTAGTTCTGAATTTACTGGCACAGTAATCTGTCTTATCTCTTCCTGTTTGATCTTATATTTAGTTGTACAAGGCTTAATTACATAAACTGCATGGAATTTGACCAATAATGTCAAAGGCTTAATGTTAACCACCACAAAAGCCAGCACATTTAGAGCTTAGTCTGCCATTCAGTCGTTAACTCATCCCATTGTATAGAGGTAATGTAGGAAACCGGGCAAGCTTAAATTCATACATACTTTAATATCAAAGCACAATGGGATGAGGACAGGGCTGAATTCCTTTGCTTTGGCAATGCCAAGATAGTCCCTTAGCATTTGTTAACTGTTTTGTATTTGCCGCCTTTGTTTTTAAATAATAATATAAAATATTTTATAACAATTACAAATGTTCATTAACATCATTGCATGTGCACTGACATCACATTGCAGCTGGGCAGATGTCAGTGTAGGTTTATGCGAGAGTTAAACTGATGACATGATGGTTTTATAGACCAGATATGGCACCTCGACAAAATGGTTAAAACTGTATTAGAAATGCATAGACCGATATATTAGAGTAAACATTAGCTCCTGGGAAAAGGAAGAGCGAGCATCTCTCCTTTTTCAGGGAGGGGACTTTCTTTAAAGTTCAGACTTTAAAATAATTCACAACTTAAAAGTTATACACCAAACTTTTCAGTTCTAAAATGCCCAGTTATAAACCTGGAAGCCACAGGGTTTTTAATGGAAATAGTATTTGACCTTATACGGCCATACAACACAACATTTTTGCTTCAGTTCTGTTAACGATTTGAAACCACTGCAGAAACTTTTGAGAACTTCTGTGCTATGAATTCTTTGTCCATAATAAAAAGACCAAACTTAGCCAAATTTATTCATTTAAAAATCATTAAGCAGTGGAAACTTTGATGGTATAATTTCCTGGTTTTTGGAAATACACTCTGGGAGAAATTGGGGCTAATAAATCTCAAAATCTAACTGATTTCAGTTAGTTTATAATTTACCATTAGGAGTAAAGCTTGGTTTTAATGAGAATGCTGTGCATGATGTGTGGGTGGTACATTTTCAACCACTTAGCAAACTGAGGCAAGCAATGCTAATATTGTTGACAGTTAAGCTATTAAAGAAGGGCTGTGCTTCCTATTGCATGCATTACACTGACACTATACTTTCTTTCCTTTCCTTTTTCCTGTGCCATGCTTGCTGTGTAGCAAATGGAATCTCTTGCAGTAAGTTGAAGTTCTTTCATATTCTTTGTCCAGCTAGAGATGGACTAATACAGCCTGGTTTTACTGTTTGTTTGTTTTTTCTTTTTATCTCTTGGCATGTTTTCCCTTTTTCTTTTCATTTTTTCCTTAGCAATTTTGATTCAACATGTTGTAAGTAACTAAGTTGTGTTTTGAGTCACTTTTCTCTTGAAGCAGAAATCTAAGCTACTATTACAAATTCTGGCATTGTCACATACCATTTAGAAAAGGTCTTTAAATTAATTTTGAATGTGAGTCAGTCTTGTTTAACAGTCCAGACTCCAAGTAGCTTTAATAAGCTAGAATGGAGAGCTGAAGTGGTTATTTTAAAACTTGTAGTGTTTCAATATATCTCTATGAAACATTGGAAATACTAATTTTAAATTAGGTTTTAAAATGTTTTCATCATATGCTAATTTGAACAATTTCACCATGTTGTCATTTCAATAAGTATCCACAAATAAAAAAAAGTAAGCTGCATGATATGATATTTAACTGCTAAATATATCAAACTTACATATTAGTTTAGTTTTGCACAATTATGTTAGCTTAAACTAGTAGTCAGAAGGGAAAAACTGAATGTTAAAACTATAGTATTGGCTATCTTAAAGGTTCAAAAATCACAAGTTAACCCCCCAAAATCATGAGATGTTAAAAAAAGTTATATTGTGTTTTTTGGTCTGTGTTTGATTTTTGAATTCTCCCCACCTGCCCTCAGTTCATGTGTGACAATTACTGTGGCCCACTCTCCCAAAATGATTGGGTAAAATCATTTTGCCCCTGCAGCAAGAATCACCCATACCTGCTCATTCCCCTGCCCAGGAATTAATTCTGCCCTCCCAATCCCCAAATCAGTTCTGTCCCCTTACCAGAGCTGCCTGTCACATTAATTCTGCTCATCCCCAATTTTGACCGCTGAAGTTACCCCTTCAGTTCTGCCCCCACATCTGCCCCACCTTCACATCAGTTCTGCACCTAGGGTGAGCAGACAGCAAATGTGAAAAATTGGGACCGGGGTGGGGGGAGGGGTAATAGGAGCCTATATAAAAAAAAAAAGACCCAAAAATCGGGACTGTCACTATAAAATCGGGACATCTGGCCACCCTATCTGCACCCCACCCCCAAGCCTCAGCTCTGCTCCTTCTGCAGCTACTGGTGTGGGGGTGGAGGCAGCTGCAGTAGGTTTCTTCTTCTTCCCTTTGCCAGGCCAGGTGTTGCAAGGAGAGAGCAAGTTGTTCCCAGGAGGGAAGGAGGAGTGGAGCCGTCCTAAATTAATGGGATTTTTCTGTTCCTTCCTCCCCACTCTTGTGAGAACGGTTCCTGAGGGCACAGGGGGGAAAGGTCTGCCTGCTTCCTGTAGCAGCCCTAGCTGGCTGCTCTTCCCCAGGAAATGAGCATGCGGGGAAGGCAGCCAGTCAGAGGGGTTTTACCTCCAGGTAGTGCTGAAATTCACCAGAGGGCAGGAGCTTCTCATGTCATTGCGAGACTGGCTCCAACCCTGGCCAAACTCTTGTGACTTGTGGAGATATTGCAAGGGTTGGTAACACTCTGTGATTAAATCAGAACCTTGTTTCTAACTAATTGCTGGTTACAAATTACAGAAGTATCATACTTAATCTCTCACGTGGGAGATGAGGAAGAAGCACTTTGCATTGCTGTCAAGTGATTCCATCATGTGACACTCAGAATGAGCTGTGTCCAGCCTCCTTGTGCTAATAAAGAGTTGACACAATACTGGTTTGGGGTAGAGTTGGTTGAAAAGAACAATGTCTCATAAAGCCTTTTGTGAGGTATTTTTTGTTAACAAGCTTCTAAACAGGGCCTCCCAGAGGATTCAGGGGGTCTGGGGCAAAGCAATTTCAGGGGCCCCTTCCATAAAAAAAAAGTTGCAATCCTATAGAATACTATATTCTCGTGGGGGGCCCTTGCGGGGCCCGGGGCCTGGGGCAAATTGCCCCACTTGCCTCCCCCTCTGGGCAGCCCTGCTTCTAAAGCAACAAAAGCAGCCACTGAGATTATGTCTAGGCACAAGTCCTTTTGGTCCCTTTTGAAGCTTTAAAGGTTTTGTTTTTTCTTTTAAAAAGTCTGTAAGACAAATCATTCCCTACACAAGTTAATCCTTCCTGCATGAGAGACAGGAAGCTCCTTGAATTTGGATTCAAAGCATTTCCACCTCATGGTTCAGTCAGGGACACAGAATTTGGCCCCTGGTCCACCTGTAGAGTTAGCGGAGGGTTCAGAACCCCAAAACCCACACTCTTGGGAAAGCCACAACTCCAGGTCCATCTGCTCCTCTGAACCTCATAGCTGCTATAGCCATTCCATGATACCTTAGTATCCTCAGTCCCCCCTTGGGGATGGAGTTGCACATCGTGTTAAGAGAATAATTTTAAGTTAATACTCCTGGGGCAATATTAACTTAAGATGGCAGGAATGATACCACAGAGACCAGAACTCCCCTTATCTATGGAACTTGATCCCCATCCCAGAGTCCCCATGGAGTGATTTCATCAAGGTTGAGGAAAAGGGGGTTTATGTGGCAGAACCAGCACTTCCTACCTCCCCCACACATTCTATGTCCACATGATTGGATTCACTGCTTTTTGTTCCTTTCCACTCATAGAAGCAGAAGGGAGCATTTGGCTCAATTGGAGCACCGCCTTGTTATTCTTATTGTCGTTTATGACTTGTATTATCATAGCACCTAGGAGTGCCGGTCATGGGACAGGACCCCATTTTGGATTTCCTTTCTCTCAGAAGACATCTCTCTGACCACTTTTGAATTTTAAAAGCATTATATATATGCAAGTTACTGCCCCTCTTTGTGCCTCAGTTTCCCCATCTGTAAAATGGGGATAATGATACTGACCTCCTTTGTAAAGCACTTTGACATCTACTGATGAAAAGTGCTATATAAGAGCTAGGAATTATTATTCTGAACTGTGACCAGCTACAGACAAAACAATATCGTGGGTGTTTTCACTCTGATATGTGATCATAGTTTAGTAAAATCATGCCAACCAGCTTTTTCTTACCAGAGAAACAGTAATAGATATATCCCCAAATATGTTTTATTGGCTGCACAAAAATGACCCAAAATCTGCTGCTCTTTATTAATGTTTTCTCCTCCTATACATCTTTCCTTAGCAATTGGAACTGTGTCAGAGATTATATAAGCTCCACTTCCAGCTGCTGTTGCTTTTTCAGTCGTACTGTAAACTCATTGGACAGGTGCATGAAGTTAGTTCCATGCCAGAGGTATGTCATAAGCACAACCAAGCCTTCTACTAAAATAATCACTGTATCTTTGTATTTTTATTTCTACATGTTTTCACCAAAAATTAATTATTAACCTGAACTATGGGTCTCCAAACTAAATGTTTCTATAACACTCCTTTGTCTGAATTAAAATGTGTTTGGGAATTCTGCACTGTATATAAGAGACAGTACAGTGATTCAAAGTTTGAGTTCTTTTATGCTGTCAGTCTTCAATGGTAATTTCAGTAATTTGCATGGTAATGAGTGAAAATACTAAATTAGGCCCAGTCCTGCAGAGATTTATTCAAATACTTAATTTAACATGTTGGGATTATTCATACTATGTAAAATTAAGTAAGTGCATAAGTCTTTATAGGATCAAAGAAAATTTTCAGGGAAATTGACCTTGCTTCCATTGTCTGGAAATGATTCTTATTCTAGGGCATGGTTGACGTTAGTTGGACTTCGTGACCAGATCTACACTAGGAGCACTTTGCCACTACAACTATACCAGCAAAGTGCTCCTAGTGGATGCAGTTTATACTGGCAATACTGCACTTTTGCTTATTCCAGACCCCCGAATGAAATAAAAAGCTTCTAGTGTAGATATAATTATACCAGCAAAAGCACATTTTTTCTGGTGTAACTGAGTCTACACTGCAGCTTTCCCAGTGCAGCTGTCTCAGTCAGGGATCACACCTCTTCACACCCCTGATTGACATAGCTATGCTGGCAGAAGTCTGTAGTATAGACTTGACCTTAAGCTTGCATTGTAAGTGTTCATGCCGTACCTCTTCTGTGGATTCACAAAGGTCTCCAGTCTCTGCTGCTGTCGATCTGACTCTATCCAAGAGTACTAAATTCACTTAAAAGAAAAAATATTAAAATTATAATGTATGAAGAACTATAATATCATCATAGTCATTTAATTTTAATTTGATTCATAAAGATTGTGTCGTTTGTTTTAGAAAATGTTTCCTAAAATTTCTCACTACATCTTTGAGATACAGTAGTTCTAAAACCATGACACAGAAATGGTCTATTTTGAGCTTGATAGCTGGCCATTTCTCTTCAGATATTTCTACACAGATTACTTTTTTAAAATGCTTCACATCAGCAGGTTTTGGAGGCAAATATATTCTCATAAATATTCCAAAACACATAATATATTAAGAAACGGTATTTTTCATGTAACCACTGTATATTCTGTGGTCATCACTTAAGAGAAGATGATAAAATAAATTACAGCATATATTTTTTTCCTTGTAAAAATCTGTTATATATGAAAATAGTGGGAAAGAACTAGTGCTTTTAATATGATCGTATTCTTAGAACAAGAAGTTTCAAATTGTAAAGTGTATACAGCAAGTAGCTCGCAGATTTTGTAGTAATTGGGGATTGTTTAATTTATATAGTTATTGGTTTAATTCAAGTGTGATTGTGGTGTGGACACTACACTCAATCTGAATATTACCATATCTTTATCTTGAGAAGCTGCTGCAAAGTATGTTTTGTAATATTGCTAGGCTATTCTCTTTTATGGTAATGGATCATATTGCAGAGGACCGTTATTAGGACTCTAGTACCATGAATGGTAGACTTTCTTTTTTAAGATCTTAGTAATTTTTTTTAGTAGAGGGTTGATTTTGTAAGCATATTTAAGCACAATACCCGAGGTTAATGAGTGAATCAATGGGATCATTTGTTACAATTAATGCAACCTACAGAGTGGAAAAAAACAATAGGAGGAATAGTTTTAATCATGAAAGTAGCATGTTTTGCTGGATACATTAACTATTATTTAAAAGAAATAGCCACTGTCAGTTGCTGTCACAGTCGATAGAACATGTTTATCACATATTGTCATGTTCTGTTACATCCTTAGAACCAAATTAAGGCATTGTGAATTGTCTGTCTTTTGCCACGTTAAATTTTCTGTCCAGTAAAAGGGTTACATAACTACTATCTCCTTATTGAACATTTCAGGGGGTTGATCCTGTTAGATATGATATATTTTGAAAGCTAGATGTGTTCTGATATGTTAAAAGCCAAATGCAAAGCAGAGGATTGAATAAAGAATAAGAATAAGATCTTTTCAGTTTGTGTACAGTATGAGACAAACATATACTGTATGAGAAAATTTTTGCCATTGAGATGGAGAAGCGTTGTTTTTGTATTAAAATGATGTTTGTTCACAAGCAACAAATAATTCTAATATGATGATAGAGCTGATCTGAAATGTATTGCTGCTTCTTGATACAAAAGGAAAATATAAATATGTTTATCAATTCTTGTCTTTGAACAGCTCCTAAATATGTCAAGAGAACTGAGTGAATTAAAGAAAAATCTTAAAGATGCTACTGCTGCTATTGCAGCTGATCCTCTAAATATGGAAGCTGCCTTATCTGAGCCCACATTCAGTTCTACAGAAGCAGCCATTCAATCCATGCTGGAGTGTTTAAAAAGCAATGAACTTGGTAAAGCTTTACTACAGATAAGAGAATGCAGGCAAGTTTTCCCACATGATTTATACTAAACCGTCACATTATTAAAAATGCATGTTTTTATCAGTTTCCTAAGTGGATTGTTTCTCCAGCAAGAACATTTAAGTGATATCTTGAGTAACTTTGAGGATGTTAATACTAGATCAAACAAATCTCATTATCCTAATTTCTTTAATTATAGTATCGATCAAAAGTACTGCAGTGAAATTGTTTTTGAAAATTTATTCACTTGTAGGACCAGATCCTCAGCAGGTGTAAATCATTAGTTTACACCAGCTAAGGATCCAGCCCATTGTCTTTTCCATTTCTTTGTATGAGTTTTCATTTTCCAGTTTTATATGATGGGGCTTACATTTCATATGGTATGTGAATTCAGTGTCTAATATTCTGGGTCTGATTAACAAGTGTTGTGAAATTATTTAGTTCCGGTATGATTATAGATACGTCGAAAATACAATTCATGTATATATCTATGTCAAATATCATCCCACCAAACAAGTAATAACATAAATGTGCTTTCCATTGGTTGCACTGCAGGAGTTTGTGGCCAAATGACATCTTTGGAAGCAATTCTGATGATGAGGTCCAGACACTACTGAATATTTACTTCCGGCATCAAACACTGGGCCAGACTGGCACTTATGCACTAGTGGGCTCCAACCAGAGCCTGACTGAAATCTGTACCAAACTAATGGAGCTGAATATAGAGATTCGCGACATGATTCGCAGAGCTCAGAGTTACCGGGTCATCAATACTTTTCTTCCAGACTCCAGTGTTTCCGGCACAAGTCTCTGACAGGAGTCTTGTGTCCCCTTTCTCTTTCAAGCTGGGAGTGCTGCCCTGCTGGAGTGAGGTGGTTCAGTGTCTTCTCGGCCTTAGAAAAGTTTGGTCAAGCTGTACTCACTCTTGTTACATTTAGGACTTCTTCTAAAAAGAGATGGGCAGAACTTCAAATGTGTAGCAATACTGTAAGGACAAAGGAAGCATAGAATATCCAGGACAGAATCCTTTGTTCTGTGTTGCACAAAAATTGGTTAGCATTTCACTGAGCAACTGCAACTCACTACTGAAGAAGTGACTTCCATTGCATACCAAAGCCTACTACACTGAACAGTACTTCCTTTTTAGAAAATTATTTTAGATTGGCAAAAGTGCAATGTTTCCTTCACTATAGAATATTTTTTCTTATAAAACGTGAACATTTTTTCTCTTTTTTGTGTTGTTTGGTTGAGCGAAAGCTGGGCAAAATGAAGCTGGCCACAGAACATTGCAAAATTGGTCGAAAGCTGAGAGCCTGTGTATATGAAACAAATTGTAAATGGACTACAATTTACTGTACACTGTAATTTGAATATGATTACTGTATCTTAAAACAATGAGCTGCTATGAAGTACATTTCCTAATGTTGCTAGGCTACTGTTTCTGAAGGTACTGGATCATATTGCAGAGGTCTGTTCTTAGGCCCTGAATGCCATGAATGGTCTAGGTAGATTTTCTCTTTTTTTTCTTCTTTTTGTTAAGGACTTTGGCTGCTTTTTACTAGAAGGTTGCTTTTATTAATATATTTATACTATTAAAGGATGGTTGATCTGATTTACCTTACCATTTTGTAGGAAAAAGTCACATCACATATTCAAAATCTTTTGAACTCTCACGCATGCATATTTTTATTTAATATAAATCTGGACTATAAAATTTAAAATATTTATGTGAAATGCAAGTTCTCACTTTACGTTCTTAAAAAGATGTCTTATTTGATTTGTTATATATATATAACATATATATAATATAAGTCATTCTTGTATGTTTTTGTTTCCTTACATTTAACTGCTGTTAAATGTGTGCATGTAAATCTGTTGCACATCTGAGACACTCTTATTCAGACATTATATAACTTATTCAGGCTGTAAATACACTTAGTTTTTTGTGAAGTAACATTGGTTGATATTTTGATCAGTACATTCATTTAACTAAAATATAAAAGTCATATATCACAACTGCGTATGTGCTGATTGGTTTGCTGAAGATCTTGTTCTTGACTGAGTCTACAATACTGACTCAAACTATTAATAACATGCAGACACTGAAATGTTCCTAATTATTTCCTTCTGAAAAGTCTAAGCCCATTATACAGAAAGAAAATGTAAGATATCTGTATTCTATTCCTCAGCAATAACATGTAAAGGGAAGAACAAATTGACTGTAGATTTTTAAAAAAACAAGTTTCTAAAATCTCATGGTTTAAAGTTCAGTTCTGAAAAGTGACTATGACTGTAGCACTGTGGCCTTCCAGCTTTGTGTCTGAAAGATTTCCATCTCAGGTGTTCTTGGTTTACAGGTACTAACATCTTCTAACTGGCAGCGTTGCCAATCCAATCTGGCATCTGAGAGTCAAGTAGCATTTCTTCCTTTGAAAACACAATGACTTGCCACCCTTCTCTTATTCCTTGCTTGCACAGCTATAATTGATTGGTCCTGTAATTGGAAGTTGGTAAACAACTGTGTTGCTGCACAAAAAGATATATAATCCATCTCTCAGATCTGTGTTGACCCTGCAGGGCTACAAGTACTAAAATGACTGCACCACAACTAAAGGTGGGGCAGAATTTGTGCGGGCTTACCCAAAGGAGGACAGCTCTGCATTGTGATTGGGGGAGGGAGAGAAAGAAGGTCAGAAACTGCTGCAAAAGGTGCTTGGTGGTCAACTTTGCAGCAATGACTCACTCCCCCCTCCCCCCTGGTATGTGCATAAAGGTACAAAACCTGGGGGAGGCAAGTCTCTATGTGAAAGCAGCAAGGAAGCCAGCAGAACAGGAACAGGCTGGGGCTCTAAGGCTTGCTGCAGGACCACATGGCAGCAGCATGGCCCCAAGAAAGCATGGCTCCAGAAAAGCAGTAAACAGCACTGGCAACAGCATGGTTCCAGGGGCACAGAGAAAGGGAAGTTCAGGAAAATGGGGGGGTATTACTCCCCTCCCCTGGCCCCAGAGACAAGGAAGGGCAGGCACAGGCAAATTACACAGAAGGGGACAGTGAAAAGAAGGGGAACTAGTGTCCCCTGCCCCAGGGCCGGTGCAACCGTTTAGGCAAACTAGGCGGCCGCCTACGGTGCCTAGTGGTTGGGGGGCCTAAAAGCCCGCTCAGGTAAGGCGGTGGAGTGGAGGTGACCTGCGGCAGGGGGGCGCGGGGAGGGCCGCCCACAGTAACGGGGGGGGGGCGCACAGGGGAACCGCTCCCCGCCCCAGATCACCTACATTCTGCCTCCTCCGCTGAGCACTCAGCCCCCGCTCTAAGTCTCCTCCAATCGGTGCCGCAAGCCTGCGAGGGGAGGAGAACTAGAGCGGCGCCGGCATGCTCAGCGGAGGAGGCAGAGCCGAGGTGAGCTGGGGCGGGCTCCCCGGGCGGGGTTAGCTGCCGCAGGGGGGGGCATCTCCCCAGGCAGGGTTAGCTGCCACGGGGGGGGTCTCCCTGGGCAGGGTTAGCTTCTGGGGGGGGCTTCCCGGGTGGGGGGCTGGGTTAACTGCAGCAGGGGGGCGGGGTTAGCTGGATGACGGGGGGCGTGCAAGGTGGAAGCCTAGGGCGCGAAACTTCCTTGCACCGGCCCTGCCTTGCCCCCAGGTTCTTTCACCCCCAGGCAGCCTGGAAGGTGCAACCAGGAACGGTGAATTTGCAAGCAAGGTGAAGCAATCAGCGTTTGCAAAGCAAGGAATTCAGTGTGCATGGGGGGGAGCAGTCAGTGTGGTGGATGACTCACCACCTAGGAATGAGGAGTTATAAACATCAGCATGGGTTTGGCCCCCCCTCTCATTTCACTTGGAGCAAGCGGGTGTCTCTTGGGAGGGGGAGGGGGAGGGAGCAAGGGACAATTAATGTGGGGGTGAGTGGGAGGGACAGAGGAAGGCAAGGACAATTTAACTGTTTCATAGCTGTATGCTCCTTGCTGCTCAGGTGCCTATACCTTTGCTGGAAAGGGGACAGGCACTGGCAGGGCAGCCCCAAGGGAATCCATGGACTGGAAGGAAACCCAAAACAGACAGTACTGCAGCAGGGGCAAGGGGGCTCACAAGTACGTGGACTGCTACTGTTTAATAACTCAAGGCAGCCTCATGGACTAAGGGAGGCAAATGATCATAGGAAAGTGTCCACACACTCAGGTGAGCAGGCTGTGTGCATTAATGGGGTGGTCAGCTAAGATGTGCAGCAAATGGTCAGTGACGTTTCTGAGGTTTTCTCCACAGCATTACAATGCTTCAAAGGGCGCAAGGTCACCTAAAAACCAGGATGTTTTCTTCCACCTAACACAAGGGATGGTGGATGCTGATCCTGGGGGTGAGTGTAATCTAAACCACACGGAGATTGGGGAAATGGGTGGTAGAGGTGTTATCCGGCCTTCCAGCCTGGCAAAGGGTGGCAATTGCAGGGGCCACAGCCAGGTGCAGGGACCGTGTTCAACCAGTCACTCAGTGAGTTCACCTAAGGGGAACAGGAGTCAGCCAATTGGGGTATTAAATACTCTGGGCCCAGGAGTGGAAGGTTGAGAAGCCTGGGCAGACCCACCTAGGGGTTGCACCTTCAGGGGGCGCGGGAGGAGCACTGACAGTATTACACAGCTGCTGCAAGCTAATTTGCATTTACAACAGCAGTTTCAGGCAGCTAGATGTAAAGGGTCTGCACAGGGTGACAGGGTAGGCCCAGCATGGGCTCAAGTTTCAGCAGCAGGACAAGGAAGGGGCACAGGGCAACTCAGCCATCAGGGCATGTAACCGCAGGGGACAGGGTAGACACTCCCCAGGGGCCTATGAGGGAGCAGGACTCTGCAATACGGTTATGCCGGGGGAGCTGACCTGATGGGAGTTCACCTACTCCGTGCAACTAAATATAGAATCCGTGCAGGTAATATCCCTGTGGCACAGGAAGGTGTTCACAGGCAGTAAACATGGACAAGGCAAGCAAAACAGCCAACTTCCCAAGAGGCCAAGGGTGCCTAGAACATGAAAAAATGGGGAGGCTACCCTCATCGTCTAGGCGGGTGTTATGGTACAGGCCTACCCAGACAGCAGCCCGGCCTTTGTCAATTATATTAATATAATTAGGTGGGCACCCAATATGTTTGGGGGCATGTCATAAGCAGTTTCCATTAAGGGCAGCAACACAAACTGGAATAAGGTGGCATCAGACACTGTGGTTCAAGGGCATAACACCAAGGGTGCCAGGGGTTTGTTCATACTGCAACAAGCCCGAAGCGGGCCCCGGGCCCGTAATAGTATTTGCTGGGCATTTAATAATGGTGGTTGTTTAAGACGCCTACCGCTGGCAATTTTATTTCAACAAGGCTATGCCCATGGGCTGTTCAGTATCCTGTGCAGCTTTTCAGAAATTTAGTACAATGTTGCACTGGGCAGTGGTGCAGTCAGTGGGACTAAACCAAATAGTGCATTAATTGCACAATTTTTGTTTGCAGAGCAAGCTGGGTCAAATGAGTGTTTTCACCTGTTGGACACATTTCAGGCCCTGGCTAAATAGTTGGGGAAATCCCTAGCGAAGAACAAAACAGAAGGCCCCTGTCGAGACATTAACCTACCTGGGCTTTGAGCTGAACTTTGCTTGCAGGGTTGTTGCCCTGGGGTGGACTTTTGGTGCCAGTCTGCCAGTGGCACCGACTGGCATAGCCAGACCACACAATTACATATGAGTCACTACACAGATGTAGTAAGACTTGTGGGTGTGGAAAAGTTTTCTAAATAAATTTAAGGGGGTATCATTGTAGAGGTACAAATGGTTATTAATTTGGGTCTAGTATACAGGTGTGCTGTTGCGACAACATGGCAGGGGTACAGGTTATCAATAGCCAAACTTTCAGATCACACAGGATTGGAAAGTTGGTAAGGGCATTTGTCCTCCAATGCTTAACCTTCAACATCTGTTTTTTCTTCCAAGCACGTGCCGGGCATGGATAATGGCATAGCAGACACCTTGTCTCATTTCCAGTTTGCCATGGGCTCTCTGGAACCTTGGAATGTCATGTGGTTAGAGAAATGCAGATTTTTTGGCTCCAGCCTTTATTTTGTTTTCTTTTAAGGAGTCTTGTCAATACAAGGATCCAGAGAATGGGTCGCCTATGCGGCCCTCCGTTAAGGGCGGTTGCTGCAGTACCAGGTCAAGGACAATGCAGCTGCTGGTGCCCCTTGAAGATCACACATGGGACAATGGGTTCTTTCTCCCCAGTAGGGCTGCTAGCCAAGAGGCAATTTGCAGATGTCTGGAAACCCGGCGGGGTTAGGGGGAGGCAGCCAAGCAAATGGCTGGCGCCTCCTTGTGGCAGATGTTTAGTGCAGGTACTCCATAGGGAGGGCAGCCAGTGACCAGATAAATGGCCTGGTAAAGGACTTAAAAGGAAGTACTGGATAAAGAAAAAGAACGGGGGAGGGGGGTTAGGGACTCCCATGATCAGTACGGCAGGGAGCCAACACCCCCGCCCCGTTCTCCTAGCCCTCCTTAAGCCCAGGGCCGGCTCCAGGCACTAGCTTAACAAGCAGGTGCTTGGGGCGGCCAAGGGAGAGGGGCGGCACCTGCGGCAATTCGGGGGCGGCAGGTCCCTCCCTCTAGGAGCGAAGGACCTGCTGCTGAACTGCCGCCGCCGATCGCGGCTTTTTTTTTTTTTGCTTGGGGCGGCAGAAATGCTGGAGCCGGCCCTGCTTAAGCCTCTTGCGAGGCTGGTGGATGGTAAGGTCCAAGCCATGGGTCAGCTGGGGGACCTGGATGGAAACAAAGGGGGGCTGGTGGAAGCCCTGGAGAATTGATGTGAATAAGCATGGATTTGCCTGCACTGTACATTTTATCTGCCAAGTAGTCCCAGACATCTATATAATAAAGTTGGGGCCTGATTAAAACCCATAACAAGTCTCCTGTCCTTCTTGCGGTGTACCCAGACAAAAAACTCCACTTCTAGTTGTATGACTGAATAGACACAGGGAAAAAGTCTGTTCAGGAAGAAATTATGTTCTACATAGTAATTTTTTTCAGAGTAGAAACATTTTAAAGGTAATGGAAAACAAGATATCAAATCTCAACTATATATTTCATTTCTAAGTACTGTTTTGAGTGACTTTCATTAGTGAAGTACTGTAAGAACTTTGTGTTGGTGCTCATTAACATCACCTGTTTCAATATGTTTCAGCCCACAATTTTATACCCATCTGGGATTTTTGTGATAAAATAAATAGGGATCCCAATTTGCATCTATGTGAATGTGGATGCAAGTATTGAGGCTGGTCACTAGGACCTTGTTTTCCTGAGTGAACTTATTATACAGTAAAAGGAACTTGGTTTTAGCCACTAAAACTATTAGAAGAAATAGACAGTTGGAACTGGAGCGGTAGAAAATTTAATCACATTCTCCCTTTCTGTCCATTTACTCTTAAAATTACCAGTCCCCTATGAATAATAAATATTAGTATTTTCCCTTCAAATCCCCACTGCCAGCTGACTATACTGTGTGACTGAATGCAACTCCCACAATGGAGCAGCTACTCTTGCTACTACTGTTTCAAATTAAATCTCCTTGAAGGAGCATCTATTGAACAGTGCACTTTTTCTAAACTGCAAAAATAGTTTGGGGGGCAAGTAGGTACTAACATACAGGAAAACTGTTTTATTCTGTAAAGAAAACATGTTGTACTACTGGATAAAATGTAATCAAGTTAATGGCTATGGTGACTATAGCCAAACTGCATATCTATTTAATGTACCTGGTTGAAAGGCTAAAAATAGAAATGACAATCCTCTCCTCTCTTCCCCCCCGCCCCCTCCCGCTTTCCCACTCAACTACTCATGGGTTTGGGAAATAACTCAGCAACAATGGAGTTAAACTTGTCAGTGCTATAACCATTACATACAGATCCTCTGGCAGAGCAAGAATTTAATACATGAAATTAAGCTCCTGGACTCTACAGGGCCTTACTCTAATCACTTCTGCCCTTGATCTTAACTGTTGTGACTAGGTCAGTGTACAGACACATTGGAACCCAGCCCCCCTACCTCAGTGATACCTGCAGCATGGGACCTGTCTTAGTCAGAAATGCTCTTTGTGAAGACTCAGGTTTTGCAATATCCTTATTTTTGTCACATCACTAAGGAAAGTGGAGTTCTAGACTTCCCAGCACAACTGAGTTTTTCTACCGGTGCCACAGCAATTACCAGAGCCATACTAAACAGAATCAAGCACCACAACTACAATGAAGGCCAACTGAAGTTTTTGGTATAGGAATTTAGAGTGGGATTCCAGCCAATGTTAAGAACTGTCTTCTGTCAAGTATTAGTGACTTCTTCGGTTATGAACTGAGGTAAGTTACTTGGACATGTGCTCCCTGCACTCATGGCCTGGATACATAGCTTGAAGTCACTCTCAACTGCAATAATGAACTTCTTTCACTTATGGCAATATTCATACTCCCTTTTAGTTGGCAAGACATTACCTATTCCTTATGTAGCTTAAGTCCTTTACATGTAGTCTTTAAAAAAGTATTCACTCAAGACTGATGGAGTTTTAATTTAATAGACATTAATTAGTGCTTCTTCTATATAGTAATTCTGAGGTTTTGTGAAGTGGATTGAAGATTGTTTACTAACATGCTCTAACTGTTGAGATTTTTGCTTTGTATCATCTCCCCCATTATTTTGGGTACAAGTTGTTTTGTCTCCTCACTCAGAAAGATTTAGCATTTTTGTTAATTGTCAGATGCAATTTTTCCTTTTCCGCATGTTGTGCTGTGTTCAAAATCATTTTGAACCCTTGATAACTCAGTTCCCTCAGTTTAGGAACAGGAATCAGAAAGAATTGAGAAGATTCTGACAGCCAGCCTAAGGTACAGACCATTGATTCATTCTCTAGAACAGCAGTTCTCAAACTGTGGGTTGGGATCCCTAAGTGGATCAAAACCCCTTTTAATGCGGTCCCCAGGGCTGGCTTAGACTTGCTGGGGCCTGGGGCCAAAGCTGAAACCTGAGCCCCACTGCCCAGGGCTGAAGCCCAAGCCTGAGGGCTTCAGTCCTGGGCGGTGGGGCTCAGGTTACAGGCCCCCTGCCTGGGGTGGAAGCCCTTGGGGCTTTGGCCCCCCCCTGCCCAGGGCAGAGGGGCTTGGGCAGACTCAGGCTTCAGTCCCCCCTCTTGGGGTTGTGTAGTAGTTTGTTGTCAGAAGGGGGTCACGATGCAATGAAGTTTGAGAACCCCTGCTCTAGAAGATCTCCTGCTTCTCAGTAGTTGAAGCCATGGTTAGTCATGCAGTCATCCTAGACTTTATACTGTGGATCAAGAGGCCTTTTGATTCCTCTAGTCTTCCTGTCACAATAGTTTTAGTATAGCATGGACTCTCATCCCAGGTAGACTTTTTTTTTTTAAGCTAGTAGGCTAAATTACCTTTTACCCTCCTTCAGATATTTCCAACGTAGGTCAGAAAGATGTTCATCTTCATAATGATGAATCCTTCCCATGCTAAGGCAGGATTAAGTTTAAAAAAAGATAAGTAAATCAAATGCAGAGTTTTATTCAACTTTATTTACAATGTATACTGTAAAGTTACAAAGCATCTTGCAATTCCTCCAGTATCCAATACAAGATCAAAAGCCTAAAATCAGAGCCCAGTAACAAAGACTGACAAAGTGCTAAATACAAAAGGGTACAAGTTAAGACAGGCCACAGATCAAACAATGTACTTAAAACTGTAAGTGTTGTCACAGAATAATCTCTTGCCTTTACAGCGACCACACAGCTCTTGGCGGTGGGATCTCTTGAGGTCAATGTGTCTTTTCTTCTGGGGGCAGGAGCAACGAGTCTTTGAGCAAGTCTGAGGAGAGAAGACATTTCATTATTCGCAGACAGAGGAGGGCAGGTGGACCTGTTTCAAGGGGTACGTCCAGACTACCCGCCGGATCGGTGGGCAGTGATCGATCTATCGGGGATTGATATATCGCATCTAGTCTAGACGCGATATATCGATCCCCGAACGCGCTCCCGTCAACTCCAGAACTCCACCAGGGCGAGCGGCGGTAGCGGAGTCGTCGGGGGAGCCGCAGCCGTCGATCCCATGCCGTGAGGACGGGAGGTAAGTCGAAATAAGATACGTCGACTTCAGCTACGCTGTTCCCGTAGCTGAAGTTGCGTATCTTACATCGACACCCCCCCCCCAGGGTAGACCAGGCAAAGTAGAAGTAGCAACTGCATCAGAAGAGGTACAAGTGGCCACTTCTATATTACTAGTATTTGTTCCCTTTTGTGTAAACAAGTCAGATGAGTGAGTGTGATACTCATGTTTTCATACTTGACATTACTTCAGTCCAAATTTGTGTGCACATTTGTTGTTTCTCAGAAGCAGAGTTTGACTATGGAACCTAGCTATGACCTAGCAACAGATCATAATGATTTAGACCCAGGTATTGCAGACACTTGCATGTAAAGCTAAAGACCTGCAAAAGTAGTCAAATTATTTCAGCCTAAGTATGCATGTGCATGAGTGTTTGCAGGAATCAGGGTCTTCATTTGTGCAGTTACCCAAGCCAGTAGTCACACCTGAACCATGAGGGTGCTTGGATTAAAGCAGAAAGGGTGACTAACTTGGACCTTGTAATTTTAAATTATCTTGAATTTGCTACAGATCTTAATGTCTTTCACCATTCATATAATTTACCTGGCACTGGATTGCTTCCACTCGATAAGGATTGAAGTTCTTTTGGCATTTGCGACAGAGTTGTTTAAAGTAAACCTAAGAAACTTAAATGCTTAGTTACCATGGTGACACTTACATTCAGAAATATTTCCAAGACAGATCCTAAATTTGTGTCATGTTAGATTATTCTTATTAGAGGAAGAGTTCCTCCACTCTACAAACTAGAATATGGATAATAAGGATTTCAGTACATTGTTAGCTACCTTGTTACTTCCAGAAATGCACCACACATATGCACTCTCCCATCCGGTTTTGCAGTCTTTACAATGAAAATAGCCATACTTCTGTTCCAAGAACTGTAACAGAGAAAGTTCAGTCATAACCTGCTAGAATACAAGGCACTGAATCAAGTCAATTTATGTTTTCCATGTGACTGATGCTAGATTTTTAGGGGGTTGCAGTATACCAGTATTAGAAAGGAGCTAAACCGCTGTGAGCTTCAATGGTTACATGATTAGGCATCAGCATGAAGAGTGGATCTCTACCCCTCATCCTTTTTTAAAGGCAAGAGTTTTTCATGAGACCACAGAGCTTAATTGTAGCAGTGTTTCCCTTGTAATCCTTTAGAAAGAGTGTAAGTCCCTGCTTCAGGAATGCTTTTAAGCAGCATGTTCTTAAAGTCATTCAGGATAGGATTTAGCCTGTGAATCACTGGTCTTAATATTTACCTAGAAATCCTACACTAGAATTGCTAAGTCTTTCCTTCATTTACAGTTAGCATTAAGGCAGTGTGTTGAGACCCCTGGTGAGGGAGTTCAGTTACATTTGGAGGTGTTTTCCTCGCCCCCCTTGCCCCCCCCAAAAAAACAGTTGGGGTTAGGCCAGTGTTCTTAACCTGCAGCCCAGCTAGCACAGAGCTGCGGCCCATGTGACATCCTCAGGGCCATATAGGTCATATTGGACACAGCCCACAGTGGTAAATAAGTTGAGAACCACTGGGTTAGACCAATACAGTACAGCTTTGATAAGGAGTACTTCATAAAAACTGTATCCCAAAGTGTTTTAGAAACCACTCAATAGAGGGAAAGAAACAGGTAGATGCAATAAAAGGTGTTTAGAGTTTGAACTAGCTAGAATTGATAAGGTGGAGAAAGACCATTCTAAATAATATCAGATGCCCTAGAGCAGTGGTCTTCAACCTTTTTACACACAAGTTCATTTTTTGAATTTTAGTGCAACCCAGGATCTACCCTGCCCCTTCCCTGAGCCCCCCCCCCCGTCACTCGCTCTCCCCCACCCTCACTTTCACTTGGCTGGGGCAGGTGGTTGGGGTTCAGGAAGGGGTGCAGGCTCTGGGATGGAGTTTGGGTGCATGAGGGGGCTACAGGCTGGGGCAGAGTGTTGGGGTGCAGGAAGGGGTACAGGGTGCTGGCTCTGGGAGGGGGGTCAGGGCAGGGGCTTGGGGTACAGGAGGGGGCTCAGGGCTGGGGTGTGGCTCCCAGTTGGTGGTGCAGCGAGGCTGCCGCTAAGGCAGGCTCCCTGCCTGCCCCGGCCCCATGCTGCTCTCGGAAGGGGCCAGTGCGCCCCTGGGGAGGGGCAAGGGGTCTCCATGCACTGCTCCTGCCTGCAAGCACTGCCCCCACAGCTCCCCTTGGCTGCAATTCCCTATTCCCAGCCAATGGGAGCTGCAGGGGTGGTGCTTGCAGGCAGGAGCAGCACTCAGAAACCCCTGCTCCCAGCCTCCCTCAAGGCCACAGGAGCATGCTGGCCGCTTCTGGGAGCAGCCTGAGGCTGGGGCAGGCAGGGAGCCTGCCTTAGCAGCAGCCCCACTACGCCACCAGAGATCGCAATCAACTGGGAGAGTCTCCAGGATCCATCAGTCGGTGACCACTGCCCTAGAGAATACTAATTGAACAGAAGCAACCAGTGCTAAAAAATAAATTAAAAAATAGAATATATACAGGGAGTGTGATGTGTGTTATGTAGGGCATCCCGTCCCATCACTATAAGGTCTAATCAAATCCATGGAGGATTTTAAGACTATATAAGTTATCTGGATCTTAAAATTAAGTGACATTACAGCTTCAGGGTGGTGCTAGTGTGGTTGCACTTAAGCTTTAAGAGATGCAAGAATATTCAGAAACATGGATACCATGCTAGTGGGGATCAGAGAGGTAGCCATGTTCAAAAATGAGATTGCTACCAGACCCACTCCTTCCAATCCCAGAAAACCCACGGCTGCCATCAGCCATAGGAAACTTCTATTAAGCCTGGATTAGATTTTTATTGGTAAATGTTGACTACACTGTGCACAAGCCAAACAGTTCCATCAACAAAAATTTTAGACGGGCAAAGAAGAGAGTGCTACTTGAGAACTTAGTTTGATTTAAGGATATTCACTTAGTATATCTTGACATGTCATGTTGACAATTTGTTTTAATGGTTATAAAGCTTTAACTTTGAATCTCAATGTCAATTGTAATTAAAAAGTTAATGACTCCCCTTATAATTTCCTGCAACTATGAATATTTAAATTTTAAAAAAATCTATAAATGCTCAAAAATAAACTATTGGTCAAAAATGATTTGTGACCACCCTTATGACAGTGGCTAGGTAGGTGGCCCATTACTGCATAACTAACATCCCTTATTCACATCTCAGAGATTATGCCCCTACACTGTGCAAATACAACCTTGTCCAGTTCTCCCCCCACCCTTCCCTCTTGCCCCTGTTCAGCCTGAACGTTTCTCCAGCGCCTGCAACTTTTCCCACTGTTTGTCCAGTGCCAGGCACACCGGGACTTGCGGCCGCTCCTGAACTGCAGCCATTGGGGCAGCAGCTCCCGCCCATGGGAAGCCTCTGTCGGTGGTATTGCGCAGCGGGAGCTGGGCCGTGACTGCCAAGGGGCGGGAACCTGCCGCTCCTGGTGCCGAGGCGGAGGCTGGGCTGCGGAGCTGGCGGATCACAGCGGGGGAAGGCGGCTGTGCCCTAGCCAGGCCCCCCCTTTCCCACTCCCTGCGCTTCGCGGTGAGCCGCTGCACAGAGGGAGCCCGGCCCACCTGGAAGGCAGATCTTGTCCCCGCGGCGGCTCCCTTCTCCTCCTCCGGCTGCGACTGCTGGGCAGGGGTGGTGTCCGCTCTCTGGCTCCTCTCGCCAGGCTCTTCCTCTGGCTGCAGCGCCACCTGCTCCCCGTCGGCTCCCTCCTTCCTCTCCGGGGCAGTGGGCGGCACCACCTGAGGCCTAGCCGCCTCGGGCAGGGTGAAGAGGTGCCGGTTCAACCCAGGCGAGCAGATGGCTGGGCCCGCCTGGCTGAAGTGGGCTGAGGGGCTCTGCAGGTGGCTGCCCTGCAGCGTTCAGAGCCCCATCGAGCACTGCACCGAGGCGTCCACCCGCGGGTTCACCTGCACCCCCACCTCCTTGGTGTTGGCCTTGCGGAGCCGCGGGGTGAGGCCCAGGCTCACTTGGGACAGCAGCGCCTTGAGCTGCGCCCGCATGTAGCTGTCCAGGTAGTCAGTGGGCTCCGGGGCAGCTGCTGTGGAGGGAGTGGTGGGAACGCCCGGGGAAGGGCTGCTGCTGCCTTTGCTTTGCTTCCACTTGGGCTGCTTCTGTTTGGGGCCCACCAAGCCCCCGCCTTGGCTGGATGTGAAGATGCCACCATACCCCGGTACACACTGTAGAGGGGATAGATAAATCTCTCCGTGGCCTACTAACGCTTCTCTTCTCCCCTCCCCTTTCAGCTAGAGAGAGACTGCCTGGGCAGCACCGCGACCCCCACTTTTATCCTGCAAGGAACTGCTGGTCAGGGCCGGCTCCAGGGTTTTGGCCGCCCCAAGCAGCCAAAAAAAAAAAAAAAAAAAGCCCCGCCCACCCCCCGCCGCGGCAACTCCGCGGAAGGTCCTTCGCTCCGAGCGGGAGTGAGGGACTGTCTGCCGAATTGCCGCCGAATAGCTGGATCTGCTGCCCCTCTCCGGAGTGGCCGCCCCAAGCACCTGCTTGCCACGCTGGTGCCTTGAGCTGGCCCTGCTGCTGGTAATTAACGCTAATCTACAGGGAAATTGATGATCCTCCTGGGTAATTAGCAGCTCCTTGGATAGTCAGCACCGGCTCGCTGCCCTCTTCCTGCACCCCCTCCTCATTGATTCTGCAAAGGGGGAGGGGATTCAGTGATTAATTAAGAATGAGATTCAACTCACAAAATGAGTGTGATTATTATGCATAAATGAGTGCACACCCAACAAAATCCCCCTCCCCTCTCCCCAGAGGAATAGGAGAGACTGTAATACAAGGTACATACTCCTTCCCCATCCCCAGAAGGGGATACTGCAACACACACCACAAAATGCTATATTCAGTATTCATCACCCATCTTTATAAACGCTGCCTAAAATCCATTGCCCACTAGGGAGTACGCCTTCCCATCTCCCATAGCTCCAGGTACACCCAAACATGAGGAAGGCTAGTGGTAGAAGTCTGATTAAATTAATGGGATTTTCTCTTCCAAAAATATACGATTTAAAATGTCCCATTAGCATAGATACATACATTAATCATCACAAGAGGGAAAGACTTTAAACACTGTCATAACATCAATCTCAAGTGAGAGAAAAGTCAGCAGCCAGTCTGTCAAAATACCCAATCCTGTAAATATGTGCATGCTTAAATTTACTTACAATTGCACTGCTCACATGCCCAAAGTTAAGAATGTATATCTTTGCGGCATTAGGGTCTAAATGAGCATCTCCATTCTCCAGCTCCAAAAAAGGGTGATATTTTACACGTTACACTGAAACACAGCATAAGCAAAATACTTTACAAAGTTCCACACACAAAATAATTCAGTATGAGTTTGGTTCTTTTCTTGTAACTAAAGTGGAAAAGGAAATCAGTATTTCACGTGTTCAAGTAAACTGTTGATTACTTTATACTCAGACGTTGAATGAATTGTGTTGTTTAACAATATGGGTGAAATCCTGGTCCCACTGAGGTTAAAGGCAAGATGCTCATTGACTGCAATGGGCCCGGGATGTCACCTGATAGCTTACCTATAGTTTGTAATATTTGTAAACATGAAAACCTTTACAGCTCAAAACCAATATTCTGAATTGCACCTGAGAAACAAGGTGGGTGAGGTAATATCTTGTATTAGACCAGCTTTTGTTGATGAGAGAGAGAGAAGCTTTCGAGCTGCACAAAGCTCAGACTTGAGGAAGAGCTCTGTGCAGCTCGAAAGCTTGTCTCTCTCGTCAACAGAAGTTAGTCCAATAAAAGTTATTACCTCACTCACCCTGTCCTTGTGATATCCTCACTAAACAGATAAGCTACAGCATTTTACACGAAATGCATGTATCTTCCTCTTGATCTTCAAGTGTTGCCCAAAGTAGAAAACACCGCAACAAAGGCTTTATAGCTGCAGCAGTGTCCCCATAATCAACAAGGATTGCAATTGTTTAGCTACCTGCAAATTATAAAAAGTGCTACAAGCCACTCTGAGGCCTGGTGTACACTGAGGGTGGGATCAATCTAAATTACGCAACTTCAGCTACGTGAATAATGTAGCTGAAGTTGACATACTTAGATCTACTTACTGCAGTGTCTTCACTGTGGTAAGTTGACGGCTGACGCTCCCCCGTCGACTCCGCCTATGCTTCTTGCTCTGGTGGAGTACCCGAGTCGACAGGAGAGCACTTAGCGGTCAATTTATCACATCTAGACTAGATGCGATAGATCAACCCCCGCTGGATCGATCGCTGCCCATCGATCCAGCGTGTAATGTAGACATGCTCTGAGAATCCAAAATCAATTAAGGTCTAAAAGTAGCTCAAGAGTGCAAACCCTTTGGAGACGACTAGCTATGCTCTACCAATACATGGATCTGTTATAACATTGGCTATGATGGCAGGGCTGCAGACTTACCCATAATTCCTATTTTTAACAAAAGAAAAATTATCATGAGGGAAATTGATAAAAATAAAGGTTTTTAACCATAGACCTGAATAAGCTGGGTTGCAACTAGACACACACATCTGTGGAATGCAGTCAGCGAAGCTAGGTTCTTAAACTGTTGAAAGGCAGCTATTAATAATTGTTAAAGAGTTCTTGTACACTCAGGGTATGTCTACACTGCGATGAAAGACCCATGATGAGGGAAGGTCTCAGAGTCTGGTCTCTAGCCCAAGCTTATCCTAGAGCTTATTCCTAGAGCTTGTCTATACACAGTTTTTGTATCAACTGTGCAGGTTTAGAAACAGATAAGATATACTTACATAGGTGCAACCCTGTTGTATAGCTGCACTTATATTGGTATGAATGTTCTTATATCTGTATAATGTAATAAGTTATACTGATGCAAGCACCTTTATACCAGTGTGTCCGTCCACACGTGCAAGCAGCACCAATTAAACCACTCATTTCTAAACCAATATGGTTAAATCAGTACAAAAACTGTTTGTAGCCCAGACTTCCCTAAACCCTATTCTCATTGCTGAGAAGTTAAATGATTCCTTTGCATCAGTCTTCACCACAGAGAATGATAGGGAAATACCTATTCTGGATCTTATCTTTTTTGATAGTAAAGATGAGGTAGTATCAGTGACTGGGGCATCAGAAGAAAATATGCTGTAACAACTTCATGATTCAAAAAGCCCTAAGTCATCAGTGTCAGGTGGTATGCATCTAGAAGGTCTGAAGAGCTCAAATATGAAGTGACTGAGCTGCTAGCAAAAATATGTAATCTGTCATTGAAAACAGCTACTGTACCAAAGGATTTAAAAGTAACAAATGTACTTATATTTTAGAAAGGCTTTAACAGTGATATGGGCAACTACATACCAGTATACTTAACATCTGTACCTAGGAAATTGGTTGAAATAGTCATTTAAATATAATAAAACACCCAGAAAATCATGAAATGATAGGGTCTAACCAACCTGGTTTCTGCAAAGGAAAAATGTATTTCATTCATCTATAAGAATTATTTGAACATGTCAATAAAATAGTGGATAAAGAAGAACTGCTGGACATTATTTATTTAGACTTTCAAAAGGCCTTTGACAAAGTCCCTCAGAAAAGGCTACTAAAGAAACTAAGCAATTATGGGATGAGAAACAAAACATTGTCCTACATCAAAAATGGGCTAAGACGTGGGAAATGAAGTGCAGAAATAAATGGCCAATTTTCACTGTTAAGAGTGAGATGCCTTAAGGTTGCACGTAAGTATGGTGTTGTTTAGTATATTTGTTAATTATCTGCAAAAGGAGTTGAGGAAAACATAAGAACGGCCATACTGGGTCAGACCAATGTCCCGTATCCTGTCTTCTGACAGTGACCAATGCCTGGTGCTTCAGAGAAATGAACAGAACAGGTGATCATTGAGTGATCCGTGTTCACTCCCAGCTTCTGGCAAACAGAGGCTAGGGACATTTAGAGCATGATGTTGCCATTAATAGACCTATACTCCATGAATTTATCTAGTTCTTTTTTGAACCCTGTTATAGTCTTGGCCTTCACAACATCCCCTGTCAATGAGTTCCACAGGTTTATGGTGTATTGTGTGAAGAGTTACTTCCTTTTGTTTGTTTTAAACCTG